GAATAGTCCAACTCATGTTCTACAATTTGATCTAGTTTTTAAAAATTTCTGATACTGTTAAGGTCAAAAATGATCGTTTCGAAAAAATAATCTCAAAAATTGAAAAAAAGTTGATTTAGTTTAATTTATAAATTATCAAAATTAATCAATCGATTTCGGCGAAAGTTATATTATTTCATAGTTGGAGAATTGATCTTAATATTGTAAATTTTTTGCCACTTTTTATTGGCTCGTTTTCGAGAAATTCTCCAACCAGTGAACGCTATCTAAAAAGCGACATTACTTATGTGGATACCTAATAATTCTTTTTTGGAAAAGATTCAAGTTGATTATGAAAACTTTTTACCATGAAGATGATATTTCTTAATCATCATGATTCTATTTTTAATTAGCTACTTTTTGTTGATTCTTTCTCTTTGAATACTTTGATAGAATAATAGTTTTATCTGATTGATTCTGTTCAATTTCTTTGTCTGAATCATCACCATGAATTTTGGGTGGAAAAAGTTATTCTTGCAACTTTTCACTTCCGTTTTCATGTTCTTCCAATCACAAGTAGCTCATTAGTCTCTCTCTCTCTCTCTCTCTCTCTCTCTCTCTCGCAATTTCAAAACAATTGAAAATGACGAATCAGATTAATCCTCTGTCCTAATGATTTCGATACGACAATTTATCACAACTTTACGTCTTTAAGACTGAACAATAAATAATAGCTAAAATGATTCAGATGAAGTGAAGCAATCATTTGATATGATTAGCATAAACATTAGGTTGACATTGATGATGCTTATGTTTTTCAAAACAATGAGATGAGGATACATTGAGAGAGAGAGAGAGAGACTTTAAGTGTAACTCCTCATAGATCAACAACAATCCAACTACATTTTATCATCATCATCATCGCTATTATTCAGTATTTTTATCCTATTCCAATGGATAAAAACTCTTTCATTTACTTAAATATAATCATCTCTACATCTTAATATATATCATGAAGGTTTCAACAGATCTACCAGAATATTCATTCATTTCATACTTCCTCCTCTCCATCCCAACTCCTCCTTCACCACTTTCCCCATGTACTGTGAACATTATCTCTATATTTTTCTCGTCTTATCATCATCATCATCATTATTATTATCATGATTATTATTATTATTACTTCTGTTCATTGTTGTATTGAAGTGATTGTAACAAAACGAAAAGCAAAAAAATAAGAAGCCAAGACACAATCAAACACTAACATGCAATTTGTTTTCATAGATGATAAATCAAAAATATACTCAGAACTCAATTTGAAACAGCATTTGCATCAATAGCTTGATGATTAAGAAACAATTTAACTAACAATTGAAAATTTAACTATTCAGAATGTTCATTGTTGAAGACTATTAATTACTCTTGTTAAATGGCTTCTCATCATTCAAATAATTATATGGGTTCATCTTAACTCATTAAATTTCATAGTTGTAACTCATTATCACTATTTTTTATTCAAATAGTTTAAAGATTGAGTTATAATCATTTGATTCCGTTTTTTATCCTCGATTATCCACTTATTCAGATTATCGGCAAGATTCTGATGAGATTTGTTATTATTAACTCTCTTGATGGATTTGAATCAAATATCCAAAATAACGATGAAGATTTAATATCCAGCATGACTTGTTTTCCCTGATTGTTAATCTAATTTGGTTAATCAGTTAATATTAATACTTGTTAATAGTAATTCCTCTTTCTATCCCTTTGTCTAATCCCGAGATTAGTCCAATAATCGGTTCAGTCCGTAATATTATTACTATTAAACTGAATGATGGTTATTTCCATATTTCTAGTAATTAATTGCTGATTAATAGCTTGATATCAATTAAGAGAGTTAATTGGGTTATCATTGATTAATAATACAATTAGATTACCAAATATTGTATGAGTTTCCATTGAATTTGGATCCATGTCTCGAGTTTGTTGATGTTTTTATTTAGCTGCTCGAATTGATTAGATTTTTGAAGAGGCAAAAAAAAACTCAGAACTTTTTTATCATTGATTTTCAATATTTGATGATTGTACCTGTTTTTTTTATCGCTTTTATCATATTTCAAATGTAAATGAGCAATAGGAAAATTTTACAACAATCTCCATGGAACAGAATCAGAATCTTGAGATCGATATATTTTATCCCTGATTTTTTATTCATGCTTCTGGGTTATACTTTGGTGGTGATTGTGTGGTGATGCATTTCCATCAATTGATAAAATAAGTAATAAGCTTCAATCTTATTCTCAAGCTTTTCCTTAATTAATGATAATTTTACTTATAGACAATCAATCTATTAATAAATGAATTATGAATATCTCCTTCAATTTCATTCTCTATTCATTTTTACATTGTTTTTCACCATAATCATCATTTTATCGTGATGAACATGATGATTATCATAATGATTTCTCTCTCTCTCTCTCTTCCTATTCAGTGTTAATGATAAGTAACAAACTGTTTAATAATCAAGAGAAAACAAAAACCAATTCAACTCCATGAACGAGTGTCTGAAACCTTAATGGGTTATACATCTGAAACTTTCAGGGTGGGTAAAAGGTAGATCAGGGTGTGAAAAAAAGGATGTGGTAGAAATGATTGTGGGTGATATTGGTGTTACCCATCATCTTCTCCTCCTCGATCATCATCTTTGATGTACATAGACTAATGGATTGACTCAAATTGATGTTATTTTTATTTTCTAAATCACCGAATCTTTTTTTTGTTCAAGCTTCGAAATCGATTTTTCCCTTTCTTTCCATAGAAAACATTATACTAACCATTCCCTCTTCCTCCTCCTTCACCTCCACCCTTTTCCACCTCCTCTTTTTTTCACTTTCCACTCTTTTCCACCATTATAAACACTTTCTTTTTTCACTACCTGGGCAGGGCATTTCCTAGTGCAGATAATGATAATATCATTATTATCTCAACACTCACGTAATCTTATTAAGATATTTATAAATATCATCGAGTTTTTCTATTTTCAAATTCTCCTTGAACTTTGTTCACATTTTCATTGTTCCATGTTTGAGTTATTTTCTCTCACCATGGATGAGATATAATTCTAGTGAAATTAGATTATCTTCAACAAATCGACTATTATTTTATTATCACCTTAGAAAACAGTCAACATCTTAATTAGAAGGAGACACAAGATGATTAGTTGATATTCAATTTCATACCTTTGGTTAAAAGGTTCAATTAATTTAAAACTGAGCTCATGTCATGAAAACTTTGAAGTTTAAATTTTCAGGATTACCAGAACTTTTCAATCGGGTTGATCAGTTTTCGAGTTGATGATTTAACTTTTCTTAGTAACAAACTTATCAAGATCTTGAGGTTTTAGTATTTTCAACAGTCTCAATTTGAATTGTCAATAACAATTAGTAACGTTAATCATGATTAGTGTCACTTTTTTTCATTGTCATTCATTTAGAGGTTTTATAATCCATTAATAAACTGTAAGATATTCATTGAGTTACCATGTAAACTTTTCCCTGGGAATCTTGAACATGTTGAACATTTTTGTTATTGTTGCTCATCTCCATCATTATCTATCTCCTAATGTTTACCCAATGAAGTTTTTTTTCCCTTAAATTATTTGCTATCATCATTAATTGATTAATTTACTTTCACTAATGCAAGTTAATCAGATAATCAACCATCTATTCTGAGCATGATTATCTATTCATGAATAGTAACATTTATCGAAAAATAAACAAACAATTTCAATGTATCATTAAAATACAAACTGATTTAAGATAACATTCATTAACATTACCTCAATTACAATGGATAATATAAATGCATATTCAATGTAATTACCATTTAACCTTGATTATTTAATTCACTTTGATTATTAATAAGCATCTTCTTTCATGATAATAGTAATTATCATGATAATTACATTATTCATTCAGATTCTAATTATATATATATCTTATCAATGAATTTCTGGATAAGAGATACTCACACTTTCTCACAATTTAGAGTAACAATTTTTATTCAATTTCATCTTTGATTAACTCTCAACATGATTCTAGAAAATTAATTCACATTTATATATAAATGATTCTGATGAATGAATCAAATGAATGAGTTAATTTTATCATCACCATGATTCTCATGAAATTATCTTTTTTTTACTTGGTGACGATGAGAATGATTCTGATAGGATAACATTATCATGATAATATGAAAAGAAACCAAGAGTTGATTTATTCATCAGAAATATTTTCAGTTCTATCAATTTTGATATAGTTAATGATCAGAATTATTTTATTGAATTTTTTGTTTCCATTTTCTCATCATCTAAAAATGATGAATGAAGACAAGATGATCATGAACAATAACAACAACAACAAATATATTATTTCATTGATGCATAAACTTTTACTACTGAATTACAGGTTAATACAATTAATATATTTGATTATAATTTGCTAACATTTGATATATATTGTATTTTGATATATAATTATTATTATCTTGTATTATATCATATGTAATTGATGATAAACCTGATAAAATGATTCATTCATGATAATTATGATTATCAACTATGAAAATAAACAAAACTCATGAAAAGATTAACCAAATCTAATGGTATCATCAGTATTTGTTTACATGATAATATAACAAAAACTTAGTGACCATTGAATTGTAGACACAACAAAAATGGTTACCGTTAGTTTTTGGTTATCATATCACATATAATATTTATAACCATAAATCATATTTATCACATTTCTTTATACTATTATCCTTACCATTGATATTTATTTCATATATTATATTTATATATATTTATACTAATATGTATCTTTTTTTATTCCTTTGATTTATATTTGTATCCATACATTTACCTTTTACTTTGGATTGGTGGACATTTGGATTTCTCTTTCTCTGATGATGATGATGATGATTATTGATCGATGATTATTTTACCTTATTTTGGACGATAGACTGATCTCAATTACGTTAAATCACAAGTCATTGAATTGGAAGGTGAATTCAGTGAATTCCTTGATTCCGGATTATTGGAAATAATTTCACCTTCTCCTGCCTATTATCCTGATTTTAATAATACCCTTAAGCAAACCTTAGGTGACCCAATGGACCGAGTTAAGTGGCGATCAAAACAAAATCTAGACTTTGCCTACCTGATGATGTATTGCCAATCAAAGGGGGTTTATTATGTTCAATTAGAAGATGATATTATTACAGAACCGGGTTTCTTGAGTAAAATGAAAAACTCTGCCCTTAAACATACCGCTGAACGTAAAGATTGGTTCATCATTGATTTCTGTTCCCTTGGATTTATCGGTAAAATGGTCAAGGCGGTTGACCTTCCTTTTCTAATAATCTTTTTCATCATGTTCCATAACGATAAACCTGTGGATTGGTTACTCTTTTCAATTGGTAATGTTCGTTATTGTCGAACCGATGGAACAGAGAAACAATGTCGCCAGGCCATCTCTCGACATTGGATACAACATTGGCCTTCACTATTCCAACATATTGGAACCCATTCATCGCTCAAAGGAAAGATTCAAAAATTGAAGGAAAAAAGTTTCGGTAAAGTTTCCGGTTACTCGCCTCATACCGATAATCCATCGGCAACCATAACTTCAACCGTTCAACATTATAAAACGTTCACACTTCAAGGTGCCTATGAGGGTTATACCTACTTTTGGGGTATCTCACCGAAAGCTGGAGATTATATATTAATTGAATTCACTGATCCAATTGTTATTGATAAATTTTTCATTCGAACCTCTAATTATGAACATCCGGAGGATAAATTTTACAATGCAACCGTAGAGGTTAAACCTATTTTCAAATTGTTACCCCCACCTCCGGATATCACAATAACCACATCATCATCTCAGCAACAATATCCTTTCCCCTCTTACCAATCATCATCTCCACCATCATCTCAATTTCAAAAATCGTTACCATTTTTATCATCTTCATTGTTAATGTCATTACAACCTTCATCTTTATCATCATCTCGTCCATTCACTGAACAACAACAACAGCAACAAGCATCCTCATCATCATCATCTTCTGATGTTGCAGGTCAACCAATATTATTAACTAATCAATATAATCGGACATCCGATGGTTTTGTGATTGTTGGTGAATTTAAATTATCTTCAGGAATCGCTGAAGGTTCTTGTAGTCATTTAGGTGCTGTTAAGATGCTCCGAATTAATTGTCACGTTAATTCCAATAAATGGGTTTTAATTAACGAGGTAAATTTAATAACAGTCAACATCAATTCTAATCCATTGATGAAAATTGAATCAACTAATTTATTTATCTTTCTTGTTTCTCTTCCTATTTCCTTTTCCTTTTCATCATCTATTTCCCATCAATAGATTTACATCAAGCCAAAGCTAAAGTGAAAAAGGCCTTAAACTTTAAACCTGATGAATATAATACGATTATAATACAAAAAAGTTACCAAAAAAAATCACCTAAAAATATATAAATTAATTGATTAAGATTGTTGATATATTTCTGTTTCGATGATAATTTGATGAAATTGTTTTTCTTTTACAATTAAAAACAAAATCAATGAGAAATTGGACAAAATTTTCTCCCTCTCCCTTTAATCATTTCATCATTGGGAAAGTTTACCTGTTCATTAAGAGTTAAATGACAATCTCCAAACAGAGCAAATCATTTAGACGGAATCTCAATTGTGATCTGAATTTATCGCGTAATTGTTGTTGATTCAATTGACTAACATTAACCAACCTTGATCAATTAGGGTGGAACTGATTGTTAAATCTTTTGTTCATCTTTCTCTCTCTCAACTCACAATTGTAATTAGTTAATTAGTTAATTTGTTTTCTTCTTCTTTTTCTGTTAATTTACTTGTATGTTAATCTATTAGTTTTTTTGTGCTTTCATATTCTTGACCTTTACCTGAGTAATTGTTGATTTAATTGTCTCTTCCCATTTTCTTTTCAATTGTTAACAATCAAATTAGCTAAAAGCAATTTATCGGTCATTGTTTAATTTCCTGATTATTGATGATTACATTTCCGTTGAGTTATTTTTCATGTCCTTCATCATTATTCAGTTAATTGCAACAATTAACTTCCGAATGAACCATAACAATCAACTAATTGTTGTCATTGTTTCTTTTTTTATTTTGATTTATGTCTCTATTTTTTTATTATTATTCACTACAAAATGAGTTGATTATGATTAACGTTTAATTGTTACTTTTAATATCACTTTTTTTTTTAGATTTTCTTGTTTACCGTAACAACAATTAACTTGATTGTTTATCGGAAGTTTAACCTTGATCAAATTTTCAGAGTTAATTGTTTCGTTCTCACTTATATAAAACTAATTGAAATTAATTGACTATCAAGTTGATAGTTTTTATTCAATTTAATTGTTGCCATTTTGGTTGACGTTCAATGTTACTTAGGTTACTAAATTAATTGAATTTAATTATTGATCTGATTTAATTTCTCATTGTCTTTTGGTTAGCTTTTAATTTCCTGTATAATTAATTGTTGCTATAATTAACTCTTCGTGGATTGTGTAATTTATTGATTGTAGTTTTCATTTTCCCTTTACCTTTTCCCATCGGAAATTTATTAATTCAACAATTAATCCTTTCCTGGTTAGAAATCAACTCAATTAATTGATTGGTTCAATTTTCAATTGTATCTAATTGATTGATAACTTGATTAACTTTAGTAAAAAACAGTTACTTTTGTGAGTAAAACTTTGAAACATTCAAATCCCATTGATAGTACTGTTAAAGTCCTTAATTGTGTTTACAATTAACACAATTTATTAATCTCATTTGATTCAATCTAAATCATTAACGGATCTCATTTGGGTGACAATCAAATCTTTGTGAAACCCTTGGGTTGACATTTAGATTACAATTGTTATCTTATATACATTATCACCAATGTTTATCGTAGGGTGAGATGATTAAAGTTAATTGTTGATTAAAAACTGTTTGATTAACAATTTACTAATTGTTTGGATTAAGCGAGTCACTTGGCGCCATCTATTGTCTCCCAATTGAACTAAACAGTTGATGCAAAAACTTCAAATATTTTGATTATTGAACAATTAAAACTGATTCATTCTGAGATTATTTAACTTTCTTAATCAGTCTAATTAATTTGAATTGATTGCATCTTCTTTTACAATTAGATAATTGTCAACTAGACTCAAATGTGATCAATTTGTGATCCAATTTTTTGTTTTCTTGTAATCGTAACAATTTAAACTTCGAGCTGATTGTTAAAAGTTGATACAATCATTTAATACGAGAAAATAATTAATCATTTCTATTTTTTATCCATTAATAATTGAAATTGATTATTTTTCATTCTAAAAACAGTTACAATTGTTGTGAAAATTGCCCCGAAGGTACAAAAGCAAATATTAACTACAGATAATTATTCAGGTTAAAAATAGCAATTTAATTTAAATTGTATATTAATCATAGAAAGTAATTATTTTCATCACAATTGTGTGGTCGAAAGTTTGATAATTTAAATCCATTGATTGAGAAATAAAGTAAATCCGATTAACCAGAAGTGACTTTTAATCATTTTCAGTTGTTTCTTGCCAAAGTAATAATAAAATGTCAAGTTACAATTAACTGAAAGATGATTGAAATAGACAAGCAATCAAATTATAAATCAATTGTTGACTCGAATCAGGAATGAAAAAGTTTAATTGAAAGCAAAAAAAAATTTGATGATTTCAATTGGGATCAATGATAAGTAATAATATTGATAAAAGTAAATGTTTCATTCAATGTGTCACTATGTTAATATTGTCATGGAAATGTTGAATTTCACCATGATGATAATAATAATAATAATCATCATGATGATTTCCATGCACACAAACTGAATTATCGACTGAATCTTGGATGCGCAACTCAATTTGATTCCAGAGGCAGAATTGAAAGCAAGTTTCAATATCTTTCATGGTGAAAAGAAGGTAACAGAAGAAGATAAAGAAAGAAAAAAAGAAAGACCAGTTCAGATTACTATTTACTCCTTCATCGTCATCATCATCATCATCTTTGTCACTTTCCTTCATTCACCAGTATTAACAGAGAGAGAACGAGAGAGAGAGAGAGAATCCAAAACAACAACAATGTTCAGAGAATTACAACTTTATCATTTTTACCTGTTCTCTTGTTAACTTTCATATATAATTTTCATTTTCTCTTCAATTGTGATTAAATTACGTTCTCTTGGTGTGTATCTAACTGTTCAAATTGAGCATTTATCTTCATCGGCCTTGAATTTTATTCTCCATCATCATCATCTTTGCTCTTCTCTCTCTCTCTTCATCATTTCCTCGTTCTTTTCATTCTGGTTGTTCATCACAATTTTCATCTCTTTTTCATTTCTTCCTCACTCTTATCCTGAGCTCTATCCTTCAATTTTACCTGAAAGAGAACCAGAAAAAAAAGTGATTCCAAATCGATTCTATCTGATTATCGGTGTTAATTGTTATCGTTACTCTTTAATTTACAAAACATTGTTAACTGTTAATTTCCATTAATTATCATGAAAGTATAACAATCAATCAGATACCAATTTGATTGCTTATTCATTTTTACTTTTCATTTGGTTTTCTTTTTATGGTGAACATTGTTACACCTTCAGCATCAGTTTCAATGCTTTTGGTAAGTTAACCAATCAATTTAATTATAATCCTTTTCGTTGAAACAATTAGATGAACCTAAATCACTAATTGTCAACCAATAATTGAATAGTTTAAACAACCTAAACGACCTTATCAAAACCTTTGAACACCTTAAATCATCATCATCATCATCTTAAGTGATTAAATCATTTACTTTTGTAGGAGAAGATGAAGAAAAAAAAAATCAATAAAATCAATGTTAATCTTTAAGTAATTAGATTACAACAATTATCCCTTTAGTAATTGATGATGATTGATAAAAGTTTTTCATACTCACACACACAATTTAAGTTGATTAAATATGATTTAGATTATAATCATTTACCATTAAAATTATGATAGATTTGACTTTCTGATTATTTCCTTGCATGATTAAGTTAAATTGATTAGATGATGATGATTAAAAAAAAGAGATTGAAAGATGATTGAAATAAAATTAACAATCAAAAAGTAATCAATTATCATTGTTGATCACATTAGTGGTGTTTCATATTCATTAAATTGTCATTATCATGATAAAATCTCCTTCAAATGAATGATATACTTTTTTTTTCATTCAAATTCCCATATTGTACCTTGAATGATGAAGATGAAGATGACAACGACGACGATGATGATGATGATTATGATGATGATGATGAAGCTTAATCACAAATAATCAACATATTATTAAGCTACAATGTTAAAGATATAATAATAATCAATAAAACTGCTATTGGGTGAAATAGAGTTGCTCAGATTACTCTGAACTGAACTGAACAATGATAATAGTGGATCCATTTTTGCTTTCTCTAAGCTTGATGGACTTACTATTTAATCATGATTACAAGGTTAGTTGTTGATCATCAATATTTGATGACAACAATTTACTAATTTACATTTAATGAACTTGCAATGAACAGGTAACACATACTATGGACCAATTAGTTGATTGAAATGTAAATCATATCATGTACACCTTATTGATCATCATGATAATGTATCATTTTCTTTACCTTTAGAATACAATTAACTTGATGATCAATCACAATCGTAAAGTAATAATAATAATAATAATAATCTTAATACAGTTTAATTGTTTGCTTTTCCATTGATAATGATTGTTGATTGTTCCTTGGAATAAATTATTCCATTGATTTCTGGTTACTTTTCTGGTGCCAATTTCTTTCCCTTTTTTTACTTTGTTATTACCTTGAAATGTTAATCAATTGATTGACAATTTATTTAGAACTTTTCGAATTTTTTTTCATCTTTTTTTCTCTCTTTTTCGTTCTCTCAGAACATTCTGAGAATATCTGATTTTCTATTCCCTAATAACTCATGAGACTTTTTTTCCCTTTGATTGTTTCTCTCTCCCTTTTTATCGTCAACAAATTGGACGAAATCAATGATTGACATTGATTTCTTTTCATAATTTACTTTAATTCTGATTGTGATTCAAGATGAGAAACAAATAAACACCAAAGCGAAAGGAATAGTATTCAAAGTAACAGAAACATCGTTCGTATATTAGATAATTTGGTTAACCAGAATCTGTTCTTTGTTCCCTGATAATCATCATGATAGCAATGAACAATTGTCTAATCATCATCATGTCAACACATGAATATATTCTCGAACATTGGAACAGACTCAGAGACAAAAACTCTAATCATTTCTTCAATGTTTCCATGAGATTTTCTGCTTTTCTCAAATGGAAATCACCATGATATCCATTAATATAGAGATCGAGATGGAAACAAAAAATAACAATAATAAAGGAGAAAAGAGAGAAAAAGTTCTTAATAATTTCATCTTGGAACAGAAAATCGACCTTGTAATTAGATAATCGAATTAAAGTTCTAAGTATATATATTTCTTTCTTTCTCCCTAATCAATAAACTTTCACTTTCCATCATCTAATTATAATCATGATAATCATCTGATAATTATCATGGATTCATGTTGATTGAGTGTTAAAGTTATTGTAGGAAAACTTTTTCCCCTTCTTTAGTTTTAATTATCAGTTAATTGTCTTCCAATGGTTTAACACGCAAGAATTGATAGAAAAGTGAATAATTAAAATTAGATTATTGATGATTAAGTTTCATTCTCTTGATTAATTCTGAGACATATATTATCATGATAAGAAAATATCGAGCTGATGAGAGGAAAGAAAACCAAAAAGTTCGTTCTGATAGTTGAACGATTATAATTTAAATGGATAATTTTTAATAATACTAATTGTTTGTCGTCACTTGATGATTAAACCAATTACTGTAAACCTATTTCTAATCTGTATCCATGTAAATTGTTCATTTACTTCAATTCTGCTGACACCGTTCTGGGTGAAATTGAAAGCTAGATTTATCCACGATTCTCAATATCAACTGTTGGGTTTATATACCAACTGAATGAGGAAATAAAAAAGATTCAGCTTATCTCAGCTAAAATTATCTCTTCTAACTGATTTATCATGGTAGACATAATGATGATGATGATTATCATCATCATGAGTCTGATCAATGTTACATTTATCATATGTGTGTGTCTCTGAGCAAATATAACTCAAGAATCCATTTCTATCATGTCCATATCGTTACCATGTTGACTTTGTATCTTCAAGTATTATTATTGGGATACTTCAGGTTGAAGATAAAAAATAAGCTTGAAAAGTATCGTTCTTCTTGTATTTTTCATTGCAAGATGAAGGATTAGCATCCTCATCATCCAATCGATAACTGAACAGTTGAGAAAACGATTTGGGAAAAAAAAGCAAGATAAAGATACGAAGGAGTAAAAAGAGTGAGCCTGAAGAGAGATGTTGATGTTGATGATGATGATGGAGGTGATAAAGATGATAACGTCAGAACTGTTCATCCTCATCATTCCCAATTCTATGTGAGAGATAACATGTGAATTGGAAAAATAAAACTCAAATAAAAAGCTAGAAATGGAAAAGACAATCAGGAACTTTGCAACTTTTTCCTTCCTTCAGTTGATAATATTTCTTATTCCAATTGGAAATACAATAGAAAATATATTTTCCTCCATTTCTATTTCATCTAAATCGCGAAAAATACTTACGATTATAACTTTTTATCTCAACCATTTTGTCCACCATTGAAATCACGGCGATGGAAAATCATCACCATGAGTCTCATCATTAACTCAAACCAATGAATTGCCCAAAATATTATAAACATTATCATGATTATTGAACAATCTAGAGTAATGGTTGACAGTTATTCTCATGGGATCAATGGATATACTCATGAAATATTTGCTTTTAGTGGAAGAAAAAAAATAAGGTTAAGTATCAGAATTATCTTAATCATTATCATGATTATCATCATCAACCATTCATTTTCATGATGATGATATAATCTTTCATGATGGCGATTCTTTTATCAACAATTTCGAGAAAGAATTTTTTTTTCTTTCTTCTTCTCTATTTCTTATATGTATGTAATCAGCTTTGTTCATTAATTCATCGTCAGCTGAATAGAGACATTCTATCAACACGATTACTTAATTAACTTACCATTATTAACTCAGTCATCATGATTGAGTTGATGACCATTGAATGACCATCTTCATCTTGTTTCCGTTTCTGCTGACAATCAATTGATTTAACAGCTATTACATATGATATTATGTTTCAAGGTTACAATCTAATCTTATATATTATTAGCTAATGAGTCTATTGAGGTTCATCAACATTGATTATAATCAGTTGATCAACTCAATTGATTGTTTGGGTTACCCTGCTAATTTCAAACACAATCAGAGGTAAATTATTATTACTTTTAGGTTGATTGTTGAGCTTACAATTAACGATGTCTTTGTTATCATTTACATTTTGTCTGAATGTCAAAGTGATTCTGGTTAGTTGAATTTATTATCGTTCCCCTGGTTTTCTGGTTTTCTGGTGAAAATTTCATTCTAACCAGAAAATTGATTTTTCTTTCACTCCATTTCAGTTGATTCATTGATGATGATGATGATGGAGGAAAACAGATATAAATTCATTACATGATGTAAACAGTTTCATGATATGAAAAAAAGAGTCTATGTTAACACAATCGATAAACTTTTCGTACGATTTCAATTTAAATTAGATTGTGATTGTTGACAATTCTCATTGACTATTATATTGGAAATGCAAATGATGCAATAAAAAATTAATCATCATTGAGGTAATAATAATGAGAAGGATTTGAAACTAATTAACTCGAGTGATTAGTAAGAAAGAGAAGGTCAAAGTATCACAATTAACTTGACAATCGATTTGGCTGAAAGTTCAATTATACATAATTCAATACTCTGATTGAGATAGTTTTAAAATTCTGAAACTTTCTGTCTACATTATTGTTTTATTTTCTGTCCACTGGTCAACTTTAAATTCAATATTTTGATTGCTCATTAATTTATCATCATCTTGTTTCTTGTTACATGGTTGACCAAAAAACAGCATCATCACAACCAGATAGACTCTGTGTGTATGTGTAACATTATGAGATTATATCATTTGGGATTTTATGAAGAAGATGATGAAGATAAAGTGATGATGATGACAAGGGTAAACCTTGAAGATGTCATTGGTTATAATAACTCAGCATCATCTTTATCATCATAGTAATAATAGCTTCTTATTATTACTTTGATTGATTTCAAGGGAAAAACATAGAAAGCAAATGCTGATGATGATGATGATGATGTTAATGATAATGATAATTATGATGATACACAGCCCACCCCACTTCAAGTAACTTTACTCATTATGAAACCCTTCAGATCAAATCTCTCATTTATTATACTGATTACAGTTATTCAATTGAGTTGATTAGTATTAATTTATATCCATCTATGTGATTATACCTACAGAGCATTTTTCCTTTTAAGTTTTTTTTTCAGAATATCATTGAGCAGTTAATTAGACCTCAAGTTCGAGTTTTGAGAGTTCGAGTGATACTCAGTTGTCATGTCTCAATATCGAAG